CATGCATGCGGGGGTAAACTAAATCATTAACATGTGGACAAGCACAACCTCCTTGCTTATACTCAAAAGCCTTCAAACAAACCGGCCAGTACCATTCGGCATGAGCGATGAGCTATATGATTGAAAAGTGTTTGGTTTTTTGTCTGGTTTTTTTCATGAAGAAAAAGTTCATCAAAATCTATCAAACATGGGATCTAGTTGTAAAGATCTCGGCGCGAGGAATCCAATGATGAAAATGGTTTGAAATTTGGATACATGGGTTAAGAGATAAAATATTTTGAATAAACGAATCTATGGAAAAAAATCTCCTAGGTTGCGACAAATGGCGCACATGTAATACACCACTTGTCACAACCCAGGGAGGTGGAAGTGGCATTTTTATAAAGAGTGCTCCTTAATTAATGATTTCGCCGAAGAGGAGCTCTCGACCTACCGTGGGAGCACCTATGCAGTGCCTTCAGTGCCCGATTGCACGCTGATCAAGTCGTGGCTTTCTAGGCCCAACGTAAAAAATGCATAATGATAGTAGTAAAATCTTCCCATCAGTTTCTAATCTTGCTTTACTTCTGGACTAAGACTCATGAAGACAGCCAGGAAGAAGGGAGCAGGCTCACAAAACAGAGGGCTCCGATCGGCCAAAACCCCGGCAAGATCTCTTTCTAAAAGGTCCTTTTGCAAATTTAATTGTTAAGGCAGGGAGAAGAAAGTAAGGTCCATCTATTCCATTCCCGTCCATCGTGGCCGCCAGTCATGGATCGGAGGCCGGTGGTTCGCTATCGCCGCCTACACGGCTCCATGTCAGCCCTGTGCCTCTTTTCATCAGGCGTAAAGTCGCCACCTACCATACCACTTCTTGTTCTGGAATATGCATGCACGCCCATCCATCTCAAGATTCATCCCTGAAAGGATCTCCTACCAAAACTTCCAGCCCCCAAACTCTTTCTCATTCTCCTCGTTCGTCTTCGTCTTCTATTTTTCATTCGGGAAATATATACGTACTTCCTCCATCCGAAAATACTTGTCATCAAGATGAATAAAAGGGGATGTATCTAAATGTATTTTAGTTCTAAATATATCTTTTTTTATCTATTTTAATAACAAATATTTCCGGACGGAGGGAGTACCTCTTACCTGCTGCTTCATCTCTATGACCCCTGTAGTGCTTGGTTAGGAAAGACTTGAGTTATATATACCTGTTTCAGAAAGAAAAAGACGAGAGAACCTGATGGTTTCTTTCGGAAAGAAAGAAGAAGAAGAGAAATTGATGGAGGAAACCAGTGCTTCTCCCAAGATGTGAAGAGTTATCAGTTTACTTGTACGAAAATGCCGTTAATCGAATTTTCTGCCCATGTGTAACAACTTTATGATGCAATGTTATTTTGCATTTCTGCTTTAACCTCTTAAGTCGAGTGTGGAACTATCGAGTTGATGCGCAGAAAAAAGATATGGAAGCCACATTATGGCGACTATGTGTTTGCACACAACCGTCATGGCCTTCACATACATATACATATGAAACGTTTTTCATATCCAATATGGCGATTGCAAGCATGACAAACTCCGCTAGAATTGCTGCTCTAACCGTTATAGACGTACATACAGAAAAAACTGTCATACAAAATTCAGCTCCACCTCCACTCCAAGCATTTCTGCTACAGTAGTAATCTGAAACAGAGTTCCTACTCAGACATCGTGATCGACCAATCATCCCGATGTTACACGCACAACCTATTGTTAGGGTGTTCTCAACATCACGAACGATTCTGAAAGCCAAATCACGGAAAATTACACTGGTGGAAATATTCCGCACATGCTAAAGACAGCGGAAACATTTGTGGCGTGCAAGGCGTCTACGACAGGGATGCCACGTACGGGTCTTCTTCTAGCAGATTGCGAGGTTTCGGCTTTTTTCGGAGCCAGAGAATTGCGAGTGATCATCGCTTTAGTTAGTATAGTACTTGAATTGCGAGTGATCATCGCTTTAGTTAGTATAGTACTCCCTCTGTTTTTATTTACTCCGTATATTAGAGTTGACTGAAGTTAAACTTCGTAAAGTTTGACCAAGTTTATAGAAAATAATATAAAAATTTACCATAACAAATTTATATCATGTGAAAGTACATTCAATAATAAATCTAATGATGTTGATTTGTTATCGTATATGTTAATATTTTTGTTTATAAAATTGGTCAAAGTTTACAAAGCTTGACTTTTACCAAAGCTAATACGCGAACTAAATAAAAACGGAGAGAGTACTTAGTACAAATAAAAGCCGGTGCAGAAAGCTAAGTATGTGCATTTGGGAGGGACCAGCCGGTTAAGTATGTGGCAAATCATTCTGGCCGATGTCCCTACGCACCAAAACTCTTCCTCTTTCTTCTTCTCCTTGACAGCTAGTAGACCAGCACAGGGCCAAAATCATGTGATTTCAGCGTTTGGTACTCACTTGGGAGTTGGGAGTCATATTTTGAGGGGGTGTTGTTTGGCGCGCCACGGCTAGGAGATAACTCCGGCTGAATCAAAAGGAAGTCATGAAACTTAATCATGAAAGCTGTGAGAGATTTGTTTCAATCATCAGAAATATAAAAGAAAGTTGCGAGAGATTCTTCCATTTGCTACGGCTACTCTCTTGCCCCATTTCCATTTCCACGCAAGACAGTATCATGAGACACGTGAACTTTGGCCTAGTTCCAACTTCCAACGCATATTTTTCATGATTCCAAACTACTAGTAGCTAGCTAGTTATTGGACTGGACGGCCACGGAGCCCCGGAAAAGGCGTGCGCCAACTAACAGTCATGAGGCGAAACTAGCCCAAACCGCTAAGGCCCTTCCCAATGCTCTAAGGTATACAGGTGCTAAGGATGTCACATAGGCAAAATAGTGATGTGGCAAAGCAATTAAAGAGGAGAGAGAGCATTATGGTGACCCAAAAAAAACGGTGCTAAGCATATGAACCTATGTAAAGTGACTATCAACCAATACATGAAGGAAATTAATTATTAAACAATTCTATGAGGGAAGCTTAGCTACAAAAACTAAGCATCTATGCATTGGGGGGACTAGTTTTAAGATTTTTAATGCATTTAGCACCTCATCTAAGCACCCATGCATTGGAAGAGGTCTAATACCTTGGATGATGATGATGATGCTATTGTTCCTCGTTGTATATTCTTTTTTTTATTGGTTGCTACGACTACCGGACTTGCCAAATCCAATCTCTCAAATGTCCGCGGACGTGGACACTGACCGGTCACTTCTTAAAAAATGCATTTCACATCCAAATACCTCAAATTAGAACTCTCAAATCCATATTATTACATGCAACATAAAACCTAATCTAAGCGGAGCTCGCCCTATTATGCTCCCCCTCGTCCGGCTCCGCCCTGGCCATGTACGGCAGCCGCTACGCTCCTCAGAGTGTTGGTCTGGTAGCCGGCAAGGTAGAGTAGGGCATGGGACACGGGCCGGCTCACGGGACTCAAGGGCCGCCGTCTCCCATGTCCAACTCTTCCTCGTGGGGGCCCAGAACCCGAACGGTGTCGGTGGACGTCAGATCGATGACAGGTCCGTCTTGGGACGAACCGCGGATGTTGACGACGATGCGGTTGCGGCGTCCGGACTGATGCGCCATACGGGACGCCAGAGAATGCGACTTCGCCTCGCCGACGTCTACCACCACCTCCCGCGCCTGGTGCCTTGCACGGCGGGCCCGCCCATGGTGCATCCCCATACTCGGAGAGCCAACGAAAGGTTGTGCGTCCCCCAACGTGTTCAGACGCTACACAAAACGCACGACCTCCGGCAAGGCATCTACGGCTGGCCTATCGCCAAATCCGTGCACCATTTGGGTGGACGCAATGGATTCCCGATGGAAGGAATTCAACCGGTGACGTGCACGGGCCTCCCCCCGGGCGCGACAGAGCGCAAGCCGGACGACCGTCTTCTCCTCAAGGCCGTGTGGGATGGGGGAAGTATCCAGTGCTACGGGAGGTGCTCCATGAGCTTTTCAGCCATTGGATCAGAGATCTAAAGGCCACAGTGCGACCTGACACATATTTGCCAAAAAACCCTCAGAAGTCCAATTATTTGGTCCAGCTCCAACACATCCATAGATGACCATTGGATCTTAAATCAACGGTTGGAGAACTCCTGGAGCACCTAAACTTAGGTGCTCCTGTAGCACTAGAAATTTTCCCGCGTGGGATGAGCTCGGGGTTGACGGATCTGGAGGTGAGGGACTCAGATGCGCTGCCCGCCATGTCGGAGACGAGTGAAAGGAGCCTGAGACGAGCTTAGGTGGCGGAGAGGAGTGGAGTGGAGGGGAGTGAAGTGGCCACGGTTTGGTCCGACGAGCGAATGAAGAGGAATTTATGTGGGTCGGGGGGCAGCATGGGCCGGGTCCGACGTGGCGGGTGTGCCCGGGCGCACCCGGGCGCCCCCATATCTGCCCCATTTTTGGGCTGGATATGAGGGGTGCCGGTCAGACCGAGCGTATGAGGCCCGTTTGAGGGGGGGGCGTCTAGGTAAAAAAACATGGTCTACCAGTGACCGGGCGGCTCACGTATGAGGTGGGTTTGAGGCGCCCGGTTTTAGATGCTCTGAGCACCTAGAGCCGGACTTGGCAAATCTGACCCCTATACAATGCATGCGCAGACCCAGCCGCGGGCAGTAACCAGTCATCCCTAAAAAAAATTCGCTGCATTCAACTACCTCATATTAGATACCTAAAATCCATACAAAGCATGCAAAATAAAATCTATGTACTACATAGGTAATCTAAGCTAGCCTACAGTACTCGCCATCGTCAAAGATGCCAACGGCCTCCATGCCGGCAATGCTGCACGGCCCTATCTCTGGGTGGATGGCCTCCTGCCGCATCTTCAGCACCTCGTCGGACACTATCCCGGCGAAGATTTCATGGAACTTTGCGCCCCGCTGGAAGAGGAAGCGGCGGTTGGCCTCCACCTCAGCCTCCGACTGGATGGAGTCGAGGATGGCCTACTGCTCCGTTGCATCCTCCGCCTGGGCCACCTCGTACTCTGCCATGGCAAAGCTCGCAGCCGAAGGCGCCGGATATGCTTCTCCTGCGTCGTTGTCCTCGTCCTCCTCCGGCGCCGCATCCTGCTTTGCCTCGACCTCTGCCTCCGCCTCCTCCTTGCCCGACTCCAGCGAGTCCAGAGGCAGGCCGGTTTTGATTCGAGCTTCGTGCCACGCCTGAATCTTCTCAAATAGCTCAAGGCGCCGCTTCCGACGTGAGCATGGCGTATGTCGTCGCCTTCTGTCGGGTCATAGCTATCGGCGGACGGCGAGTGAATATAAGGGTGACGACATGAAGAGGAGATGGATGGAAATGGATGCGGCTAGGGTTGGGGGTCGCTGTCCGGCTTAAATAGCCGGACTTTGGCCCTCGAACGGTGAGCTGGAACGGTGCCACGCGGAGGCATGAATACGTCCACACCCGCCCCGGAGGAGAAGCCCGTCAAACTGATGGGTTTCTGTGTGGGAACCCGCTGTCAACCCAACATGGTGGACCCACCTGGCGCGCCCAGCCATCCCATATCTGTTTCAGATTTGGATTGGATATGAAAGGTGTCGGTTGCTTCGAGTGTGTAGGAGCGACATGAGGAGCCCGTCCATCTCAGTTTTTCTTAGCGTCTGGCGGATGTAGATGCTCTAACCGAAACCAAGATGATTCGTGCATCGGAGGCCCGGAATGGCGCCGATGGAGCATGTGATGGTTTTTTTAACACAGTACAGACGCAAGCGCTCACATACACGCGCATACACTCATTCCTATAAATGCACACCCTACCTCTATGAGCACCTTCGAAAGACTGAGCCGGCATATCATCTCGAAATTTATAAAATCGCAGTAGGCACCTCGTCGTAGACGGAAACGTCTCCTTTCATTGAATGCGCATCACCGAAAATTCTAAATAAATCGAGAAATAAATGCGAGCATCAGGATTTAAACCCTAATGAACTAAGAATACCACAATACCTCTAACCATTCAACCACGTCGATTCACGAGCATGTGGTGGCTGGCATGATGCAAGCCACGGAAAGTGAAGAAAAAGAATGAGATTGCTTCCAAGGATCTTCTTTGCCATTCCAGCAGCAGCTTCAACATTTTTCGAGTTTCTCGGGGAGCGGATTTGACCTGACTCGTTTGCGCGGGCGGCCCAAGGAAACTGACGCTATGACACGTAGAGTGTTGTACGTACATATATACACTAGAGCGTCCATTTTCCATGGGTGTGACAGTGAGAGAAAAATCAAGGGGAGCGCGCGCAGAAAAAGAAGACGGAGAGGTGAAATTGGAAAGAAAGTTGCGTCCATTCCATCCCAGGAAACATGCATGGTGGCCGAGCCTATTGCGCCAACCACTCGCTGTGCACCCACACCCACACCCATTCAGCGCCAGTGACGACGAGCAGATAAACGCTGTGGAAGGAAGGAAGGAAGCAGTGATGCGTGCCGAATGTGCACCGAAACGGGATGGATTCAGTGGCCCCATGGCTCGGATTTGCGCTTGTCCGCGTGCCACGATCAGAATCCAGACGGCAATGAACCTAACGATGCTCGTGGACGACGATGATGATGATGAACTGGGTGGGTAGCGGTGGACGCTCTTTCGCTACCTGAACCGCTGTCCAGGCATTATGTATGCAATGTTTTGGCGCTATTTGTACTATTAGATGGATGGAGAGCATCTTCGTGCAAGACATTTCGCATATCACATTTTATTTCGCCCCAAAATAAAATGCAGAAAAATATATCAAAACTTGCGAAATGTAAGGGACCTTTCGCTAGCTGTTCGGTGCTTGGCATGCCATGTGCACCATCTGTCCTGCATCTCTCTCTCTATACCTCCATGCATTGTCCTAATCCGTCCCCAGTGGCTAACTAACAACGAAGCAAGGCACGATTTGTCCACCACCTTTCCATTATTATATAGTATATGGTACCCCCGCAACCCACAATAATGAAACCAGATTAGCTGACTCTAATGAGCATAACAGTATCTTATTACTGTACCAGCATTATATATAAATCATGCATGATCACCCAGGCTGAGATCAGCATGGGTAAATCAAATCATTAACATGTGGGCAAGCACAGCCCTCTTGCTTATATTCAAGAGCCTTCAAACAAACCGGCCAGCACCACACCATTCGGCATGAGCGACCGATGAGCTATATGAAAAGGCTTCAGACAAACCGGCCAGCTTGGCCTCACCCCGAGCACCAACCTAAACAAGTTGGGCTGCTGAGCCATCACACTAATTAATTAAACATCATTATCGTGCTAACTTGATCGGTGGCAAAGGGAAGGTGATTGGGCCTCATCGATCGTCAGAGGCTGCTCGGGAGCTGGCCACAAGAATCGGCAAGGATATCCTCTAGACATGCATGATTGGATTGGAGCACAGACCACGACCTTTCTACTACTCCCTCCGTCCGTCCCGTGATATAAGAGCGTTTTTGACACTACAATAGTGTCAAAAACGCATATTACGAGACTGAGTAATTAATTCCTCTAGAGAAGATTCTTTAGCTGTATAATATATAATCCGTGTTTTCTTTTATGTTTCTCTCTCTCATGTCTTTTTAGATTATACAAAATGCTAGTGGTACTAGTAGGGTGGAAGATCTCATTGATGCTACTACTACATGTAAAGGTTCTCTCATTACAATTACATGCTCTATTTAGAACAGTAATAGTAGCAATAATAGAAGAAGAAATTAAAGAGGAAGAAGAAGAAAAAGAAAAAGGATTGGTCAAGGAGAGCTTTGACCTCCCAATCGAAGAGAGTAACAAGCTACTGTCTCTACCTACAACCAGAGAGGTCTCTATTACGATACGATTATGAGGCCGCCTCTGGCTACTTTTCCGGCGGTGGCCGGAGCCGCCATCGATCACATGACGCTGCACGAGTTGGGGTTCTCGTCGTCGAACAGGCGGTACGAGTCCTGGAGCGGCGGCAGGGGTGGCGGCGCCGCGTGCGTCCCGGGCGGGCTGTAGTAGTCCTGGTAGTAGGACTCCGGCGACGCGTGCGGGTACGGCATGTAGAGGTAGGACGGCGACCATTGCTGCATTGGCTGCGCCTGCTGGGAGTAGGCCTGCTGCGCCGGCGCCGGTGGGTGCTGCATCATGGAGGAGGAGGAGTACCCGGCCTGCTGCTGCTGCAGCGAGTAGCCCTGCTCCGGCCGCGGCGCGTAGTGGGACACGCTCGCTCTCGGCTGCGCCATGTTGTAGCTCATCACCGGCTGCGGCGCGCCGTACGGGTTGAATTCGTGGCGCGCGTGCATCGGCGCATGCGCCGGCGCTGGGGACAGGGACCTATCGGCGTCCTTGGGCTTGCTCTGTTTCTTCTTCGCCTCGGCCTCGTCATTGCCGCCGGCCTCCTTTGCGGCGGCAGCGGGCTCACTCGCGGGCTCGGCGCCCTTTGCCTTGGGCTCGCCCTCGCCGCCGTCTTGCTTTGCCTCGTCGCTTGGTTTCGCCTCCTCCTCCTTGTCAGCCTTCTTCTCAGATTCTGCTTCCTTCTCCGCCTCAGGCTTCTTCTCCGGGGCCGTCTCCTGCTCCGGCTTCTTGTCCGAGCTGTCGGCCTGCGGCTCCTTCACAAGCTCCGCCGGCTTCTTCTCCGCTACAGCAGCATCCTTGCTGCCGTCCTCGGCCGGCGCGGGGGCGTCGGCTGGGGCTGGCGGCGCAGGGTCGGGATTCTTGGCAGGCGTGTGTTGCCATGGCAGGGCCTGCTTGCCCGACTTGTGCAGCCGCTTGATGAGCGTCTCGGCGTCCACGGTGCCGGTCACCATCACCTTGTGCAGCTGGGCATCCACCTTCACGTCCTGCACGCCTGAGCACCCCAACCAAAACGCGCGACGACCACTTAGTAAGCTAATTAAGCCGAAAATGCAGCGGCGGGAGGAGAATTAAGGAGGGCGACGCTGGTACCTTCGACGCTCTTGAGCACCTTCCGGACCTTCTTCTTGCAGCCATGGCAGTGGATGGTCACCCTCAGCACGAAGGTCTGCAGATCCATGGGGTGGGAGTGCGCTCTGGGGACTGGTCACCGTCGTCTCGCTTCTTGGTTAGGGAGCAGGATGAGGATGGGGGGGCGCTCGAGTCTGTGGCTCTCCTCTCAGGACGCTGGGAGCTCAGGGGAGGCAGCAGATGCGGTGCTCAACTTATAGAGGTGGACGCGGGGATGGAGTACGACCACATGGGCCGCTGACATGTGGGCCGGCCGGGTGCTCTGCTGCGGCGGCCGTATTGTTAGTACCCAGGCGGCGGCGGCGTATCCGTTCCGTTCCTAGGTATCCGTTCCGGCGGCCGTATTGTTGGGAGCATGATATTTGAGAGTGATTTTGATGACAATTTATGTTGGTCGGTCGAGCACGGCAACTCCACTGCACTTCTGTTTTTCATCAAAATTTATCGTACTGACATCCACGCGATAACTAAAGTTGCCATCAAAACGCTCTTCAATGATTATGATCGCTCTGTAGCATATGTATAATTTATAAAATAGGTCTTTGGATGAAGCCAATCTGCCGGTGCAAATATAGCAAATTCGGACACTATTGACCGTTGGATATCATCTGCACAACAACAAATTCTGCCACATGTACTATTGAAAATATTTCATGGTTGAGCTTAATCACAATAAACAAACCCCAAAACACAAGGGTTTCTCGTTTGTTCTAAAACCTTTCATGCTATAACTATTCATATATTTCTCTTCTGAATGAAATGACACTCGTTTTTACTTCACGATTTACAATGCATCATACACAGAAACATCAAAATGCATGCAATTCTTCTTTGTTTTAGAATTTTTCATACTTAAATTTTCCAAAAAGGAATCTTCTAACTGAATTGCAATTTCGTTTCTACTTTACGATTTACCGTACAATGCACAATGTGCACAAATTCTCACATCACAAACCTCCCCATTTGTTCTAAACTCTTCCATCCCTAAAGACAATTATCTTGGGTATATTTCACATGAGTTTCATGTAGCACTGATGCATAAAAAGCCTAGTAGTGGTGTGGCAAAAAGAGCCTTGGTGGCGTTGGCACCCAACACCACCAATATAGCGTGAGTGATAATTTTTACTGATGGCGTTTGTGCGCACATGAGCAATAACTATGTGCTAATGGCGTGCCACGTGTCCAACACAACTAGAAATATATATCACCAATGACATGCCATGTTGGCGCAACACCACCAATTTCATATTGTGCGTATAAAAATTAGCTAAGCATATAACATTAACAACTAAGCTAGTGGAAGTCATCTTCTGCTCGCGAGCTCATTTGAGCTCGCGATGAATAGTAAAATCCAAAAAAATGTAAAATATTTCAAAAAAATGTGAACATTTTTGGTGGAAACATTCACAAAATGTTTTCGAAAATAACACTTTTGGAGGATCATTTTTTTGTGTGACTTCCACGAATGTTATTTTGTGATGAAATTTTGTGAGCACTGAGAACTTTTGTCAATGCTTGCACCAAAAAAGTCAGAAGTTTTTTTAATTTTTTTCGGATTTTACTGTTCACTCGAGCTCATTTGAGCTTGAGCTAAAAAACACCATGTCCCTAAGCTCGGTACTTCATTGATGACCCCACAAGTATAGGGGTCCAAATAGTCTTTGAGGGAAGTATTTGATTCAAATTAATTGATTCGACACAAGGTAAGACAAAGAATATTTATAAGCCTTAGCGGCTCAGTTGTCAATTCAACCACACATGTGAATCACTTCCTTGCAGCAGTTTAGTAGTAGCACAACAATATGGTAGCAATGATAGCAATAGTAACGGTACAAGTAGCACTTTTGTAGCAAGCAGAGTAACTTGAACAAAGGCAATTGTATTAAAGTGTAGGCATGGAGTAGCGATGGATGTTTAGATGAGATTCAGTATGTAACTGCCACAACCTAGAGCGATACATGATACATCTGCAACGTATCAATAATTTTTTATTATTTCATGCTATTATAGTATACCAAGGGTGCTTGACAATTTTCATGCGAAGCGGGATAACAGTGTTTAAACAAAATTAAGTGCAACACTTGAAGATAACATTTGGCATTTGACTTTTTTTGCACAGTGCAAAATGCCTAAGCTTTCCCTTAAATTTAAAAATCATGATTATTTCTCTAGATGTTCTTGTTAGTATACCAAGGGTGCTTCATAATTTTCATGTGAAGCGGGATAGCAGTGTTTAAAGAAAATTAAGTGCAACACTTGGAGGTAACATTTGGCGTTTGACTTTTTTTTTGCACAGTACAAGATGCTTAAGCTTTCCCCTAAAATTGCAGGTAGCATTTGAGTGATGCCCATCCATGTTTTCTCAAATTCTTTTGACATTTGCGAAAAGCATTTTTGATGCGCGGGAGCATATACTCCCAAGAGCCGAATTAGATTTCCGGTGCTTTTGTAGAATAATTTGTTAAGTTTCCTTGTTTTGTTTCATGATATGACAAGTTTACTTCTAATGCATGGCCATTTTGTGAAAGTTCATGTATGCCCATTTTCTGGTATTATAATCTTTTTGTTTCAAAATACATCACATTGATGGGCTAGTGTGTCCTAGTGAAAATTGAGCTTTTTGTGGGGCAACTGGCACAATCACGTTGATGGGCTGGGTTTCCTCTCGTCGTAAAATTTGACGCTCGGTCGGAAATGGAGTCAAAATTAAATGCATACTTAAATTAAGGGCGCGGGAGAGGTTGAATAGTTGACTAGAAGCTGATTTCGTGGAATCTCAAGGCTCTAAATAAAAAAGATAGCCGCATGGTTATGCACATGAATATGAAGTGAAAAGATGGAAGTGGAATCTGCCGTAAGCCTGCGCCATTGACGTACTCTCGAATTTTTTATTTTTTAAAAGTGGAAAGGTTCATCCCTGAATTATTGCTACCTTTGTTTTTTGCTTGGTAGAGAAATGGTAGACTGGCTGTCGATTACGTCATCCGCGCTGGTGCGAGACTCGTGGTGGAGGACGCAGGTCCACCTTTGGCAGGAGCATAGAAATGGTAGTACTACATCCGTTCTGGTTTATTGGCCTCTTTCGTAATTTGTAACAAATTTTGAGTAAATATGAAGCTAACAAAATATTAATGCATGTCAACAAAAATTATGTTGTTGGATTTAAATTTGAACATAGTTTTCAAAGATATACTCTCTTATGACGCGCATAAACATTTTGTTGGTTAAATATATGATCAAAATTTGACACATGGTATAATGAGGATGAATAAACCAGGACGAAAGTAGTACGACCTTGGAAGAATTATTAGCTTTTGAAATATTAGTACTAGTAGCTTTGGAGAAACATGATGAGACGTTGGACTGCACCATGGCTAGGCCGCACTACTACATGCACATTTTTCATGAGGAAGGAAAAAGGCTTTGCTTATCCTTGGGCCCTGCGATTTCGATGAGGCCGAGACAGATGTACATACGGCCTCAGCTAGTATGGAGGAGCGGCAGTACTGGTGCTGTGCTAGCAGCATCAGCGCAAGCAAGACGGACGGACAGCGCTGGTTTTGCTCTTTTGTGGTGATTGCCATCCGTGACGGCGAGAAGTTCCAACTTCCAAGGCCGGCCTGGACCGGGAGGGCGTTTTCGGTGGATCCCATCCATGGTGGCGCAGAGTTATTTTCACAGCCGCAAGCTTTCTATCCTGGCCTTTGGAGACTGGGGAGCCAGCCACATGTTTTCTTTCTTTCTTATCTGACAGATAGATAATAAACTGTCCATCTCTTTGGTCTCTTTCTTTGTACTACGTCTTGTTGGACTCATGTGTTGCGTGACGAGCAGCCGCCTGCCTCCGCCTGCATGATTGTTACGTAGTAGTCCCTTCGTTCCTAAATATAAGTATTTTTAAAGATTTCACTATAGACAACATGCGAAGCAAACTGAGTGAATCTACACTCTAAAATGCATCCACATATATCCGTATGTGGTTCGTAGTGGAATCTCTGCAAAGACTTATGTTTAGAAACGAAGGGAGTAGTATTTTTTCTTGAAACACCAGCATCAGGATGCAGATGAATGATTCATGAGGTGCACTCAGTCGTAGCATTAGTGTTACACACTCATCAGCAACTTGTTGCACTCTATCGCTTCCCCTTTTGTGGCTCCGATGGGCACGTAGCATTCTGTACTGGACTGGTGTGCATAGGAAATTAATGGCTGTGGGCGGGCGGCTCTTGTTTTGTTAGTAGTTGGAGTTTTTGTTCAAAGGGAGAGAAGGGCACGTCTCCCTCTCCTCGCATTCATGCGCGACCAAGCTTTGTTCAAAAACAAAAACAAGAAACAGACCGAGCCGGATAGATCATAGATGACATGACGACCTGTTGCAGCTAGCATTCAGCTTGAGAGAAGTGTGTTCCGTGCAGGCAGTCGGGGATCGTCGATCAATCTTGTGGAGCGTGTGCGTGCGTGCGTTCATGTGGAATCAGCAAACGGATAGGGTGGATTTTACGCGTGCTCTGCTTATTATATCTAAATAACCGCCGGTGCACGGTGGGGTTGGCGATGCGTCTCTCTTGACATGTGCCGGACTTCCTCGTGCTTTGGCGGGTCAAAATTAAGTCAGTCAGCCGGCGGCCGTACGTGCGGTTGGCGGACGGAGACGGAGAATGTAAAACGAGATGCATGTGTGTCCTTTCGCTCTCAACCCTTGGGCAAGGGAAGGCAAGAGAGAGGAACCTACAAGGCTTGTCCTCGACCATGCCGGATGGTGCAGCAGCAGTGGTACGTTTGGGCTCCACGCTCGTGTACCGGTCACGTGGGAGAAGCAGCTCACTGCACCATACGACTTGTGTTTCTTGCGGGAAACCATACGTCCTTCTTACATCCTGATGAAAAAAAAAGCACCGACCATGTTGATGTTGGTGGTCAAAGAAAGAAACCGCACGTAGGAGTAGAAATGAAACCGCCAAAATTGAAGCAGAGACGGCGCGGCAGGATAACATTAAACAAATCGCCCGGGATGCAACACCGAACTAGGCAGCAGCCATACGTACGCAC